GTCTATTTGCCAACTCGTTGTACGTGGCGCTAAGTGGTTTCGTTTCTCTTCAAGAAATTCAAGAGCTAAAGAACGCTGAAACTTTTATCTGGTTGTTCACGACAACTATTACGACGTTTAGTTTGTGTTTCGTCGCAATAGATCGTTATGTGGCGATTATTCGGCCTCTACTGTATCCACAGATTATGACAAGAAACCGATCCTTCCTGGCGACCATCTGCATATGGATCTTCGCTGTACTATTCGCAGCCATCAGTTTTTGTCTTCCGTACAACGACTTGCCGAAGCTGTGGATAATTGGTTCTTTTGTGACCTTTTTCCTTCCTTTAGGTGTACTCGTATTCTGCTATTGCCGCATTTACCTGGCTGCAAAGGAACAAAATTCGCGGTGGAAAACAAGACAGCCCACTTTCGATGGCTCGACTCGATCTGTCGATGAGTTGAAGAATACAAAAGCAGCTTTGACATTTGCAATCATAACTGGGCTTTTTGCTGCATTGTTTCTGCCAACGCTAGCTGTAAACTTTGTTGGAATAGCCTTACAAAGACATTGCCATAGAATATGGCTCAATATAGCATGGTTTTGGGCGGCAGCTCTGTCATACACTTCGTCGACTATAAACCCTTGGATCTACGCCATTAGAATGGCAAATTTCAAAAAGGCTTTAAGACAGCTACTGTCGAAGACACCAAATTCAAAAAGCAAAATCAAACCGAATAACGTCCTACCGCGTCTTAGAGCCTTTAGGCGAGTGTGTATACCAAGAGAATTCAAGTAACTCGTGGGATATTTCATAGTATACCACTCGAAAGCGTTGCATAATTAGTATGTACTGAGGGAACATCAAGAGATAAATTCTGGGATGTAAAGACAAATTAAAAACTCTGTTATGCGACATTCACGACACTGATATTTTATTACCAATGGAGGAGACGAAAATCAAATGTCCCATTAATTGACATGTATTGTAGCTTTGTCTTCAAGCGATTTATTGTCTTCGGGGGACATTGTAAAGTTTACGAGTCGCTCTTTCGAAGGACGTTTTAAAATATTTTAGGCGTAAAGGATGCTGGGTAATAAAGAGCATAAGATAGTTGAGTGAAGCATGGCGTGCTCAAATGTTGTTCAAATGTTGTTGTTTATAGTGGTCAATGCGCTTAGCTACACCTAGCTAGTTCACAGGAATGCCACTAAACTGACAGAAACAAATATATCAACTAAACAAATTGGCTTAAAAATCCCAACTGGTGGAAGGGCAAGTTGGCTATTTACAAGCAAGACCGGGGAATTGAACTAGGGTCTACCGACAAACAACTCCAGCTGAGTGGTCAGAGCGGGACTTAAACCGGTGACCTCCGAATTTCAAGTCCGGCGCCCTAACCACTCGGCCACGTTCCTCCACTTTGACGGTAAGGTCAGAAGTGAAACGACATCGAGCCGGTATCCGGTCAGAGATCTAGCACCAGAACAATAAATGAAGTAAAATCTTTCATTTGTTCAGACAGTTATCTTCTTAACATTATGAATATGATGATGAGTAAAACATAAGATGTTGCGCAACACATTTCATTATAAGTACTGAATAGCCGGGGACACATGAGAGAAACAGTATCGAGACATTATCCACGGAGCACAGAGATAATCTGGTTTAAGAGTTGCAAAATAATGAGATGGACATTCAATTTGGATCTATTTTGGTTTTAACTACGGTCGAACCTCTACTAACGGCCACTTCATATTTTCGAGCCAGTTGAGAGTTTCGCCTTTTCGCCTTCCAACACTCTGGCTCTCCACAGTGGCCAGAAAAATCTGTTCGCAGGGTGGCCTTTGTAGAGAGATTCGCCTGTGGCACATTTTAACAAGTAACCCTTCATTGTTTCTTTTTTCCGGCCTTTTTTTAAAAGTGATCAGAGTTACTAGACAGTATCATCTACAAGATAATACGCCTTCAGTCTCCTCTGTCCCAACTCAGGTCAAAAGACAGACAGAGGGCATATTTCAGTCGAACCTCTAATGTCGGTCACCTCCCCACAACATCTACCTCTCTACTACACTTACCTATTTTCGTAATAGTCGAGAGATCTGTTATGATTTTAGCCTTCTAACAATGGCCATCTCTCCACAATGGCGAGTAAACTCTATCCCCACGGTGGCCGTTGTAGGGGAGTTCGACTGTAGAGTACATGCAGTTATAAAAGGTTTTGAAGAGACTTGAAAAAGAAGGTTATCTCTGGCTCCAAGTGCCTTCTCCTCTATTCCCCAAACAGGACCCAGGCCTTCTAAGCTAAACTTTCCTTTGGAGCTTAGTTTTTCGGGCAGGACGCTTGGCGGATCGTAGCTTAGTTGAATTCCAAGCTGCAACCCCGTGCTAGAAGTAATAAAATATCCCGCCGGCAAAACACAACGGCAACGAGAACAAGAACTCGGTATTACGAAAAAAGATTTGAGGAACACTGTACGGTTACGTAGAAGGCTAAAAAAAAAAAAAAAAAAAAAAAAGTTCAATACGTTTTTGGTCTCCATAGAGTCGCAATGATCAGCTTTTCACCGATGATAGGATAACTTACGTCAGAATTTACTCCAGGCAAATATTTTGATATCAGTCCTGTTGTCGACTTTATACCATTATCTATCACGCGTTTCGAGGCGGACAACTACACGAGTTAAAACAAACCTAAAGATAATTAGTGACATGTTTTTTATTTAGTCCGATTGCTTTTACTGCTCTTTCGGAAGCAGTTTTCTCATTATTATGCAAGTCTTAACTTATTTTCCCGTATTTTGCATCTAATCTGATCCTAGAAAGTGACAGTTTGTCTCTCACCCAAACAGCATCTGCCTAAACCGTCAACTCTTTCATCTCGAAACAAAGACGGTGACGCCACAATATTGTTTAAAGGCAGGTGTTTTTCCGTCGGTCCCCTAGTCTCCATGAATGTTTAATTGACATATATCCATTAACCAGCCACATCTCATGAGATGAGATGTATACAGGCATCACATCAGCTTCATACTGATAATTATCACTTCGTCGAATCTCTTCGACTGAGAGAAAAAGCCTAAGGCAATCATGAATTGTAAGTAATTTTCAGCACGAAATTAGTTCAGTGCCTTAGCAGAAAAATGATTGACAATTGAAAAAGGCTTCGCTTAAAACAAAAAAAATTGAGAGAGCAACGTCAAACATCGCCGATGGTAGAAAATCAATCCTTCTGCCCGCTCTACAAAAGCTACGACGCTGGTGAATCTCCTGCTGCTTTGAATGTTTTCATCGCCCTGATCAACGGAGTATTTTCAATACTAGCATTAATATCAAATCTACTTGTTATTTTCGTAATATGCAAAAGGCCAGCACTCCGTACCTCTTGGCATGTTCTCTTGGCATCCCAGGCCAGTTCCAATGTTGCTGTCTCACTTTTGGCCCAACCGTCATTGATCGCCCTCCAAATAGAAGATATGCTTGGTGATACGGATGGCTACTGCACAGCTCAAATGATAAACATTGCGGCATCCGTAATTTTCATATTGACAACCTTTTGGTCTGTTTTGGGAATGGCTGTGAACCAGTTTCTTTCTCTGCAGTTTCCAACCTGGTACAATGCAGCGATCACCTTCAAAAGGGTAACAATCCTGGTCCTATTGGCCTGGCTTGTAGCTATGCTGGCTTTTGCTCTGTGCTTTGCGTTAGGATTCACCAGGCGCCTGTTTTTTGTAGCAATTTTAATAGCTGCTTTCTTGATGCTTCTTACACTTTTCTTTAGTATCAAGAATTACCATAAAATTCGAGGATATCTGATGCAAGTTCAACAACAACTTGAGGCTCCAACCAGTGTACCACCGGTTGTCACGCCGAACGTTTCTCGCCATCAGAAAACTGCAGCAACAGTTTTTAGTATCTTGGCAACGTGTTTTGTGACACATATTCCTTTATTCACTACCTTTGTTATTGCTTATCTATTAGACTGGTCGGAAGCAAGAAATAATGCTTTCATCATAACACTGACAGTTGCGTACAGCTGTTCTTGCCTGTGTTCGGTCATTTACTTCCGGCAGAACGGGGAGATCCGCCAAGAAGTCCTCCATCTACTGAGTTACTGAAATCAAACTGTGTTCTGCTTCTAGATGTGTCGATAAACAACTCACAAGCCAGGAGCTCACTAACTTAGCAAGATAGTCACTAGAAACCGCCACTTTATTTTTAGGAACGAAATCCAAAAATCCATTCTATTAACAATACTGTTCAAAACTAATGCGAACGACAATCGACGAATATCGCGATAATGGCGATATATCGGCAATATTTGAACGATGTTATGCTTGAAACGATATATCGCGGGAGATATCGCGAAGCTATTGTCGTAGCTGTTGCTATATTTCGCTGAGTCCTGCGCAATTTATCGTTTGCACCGAGCGATGTTTCTTTCCACCTAACGATATCGCTTCCGATTATCGAAATATACCAAAGTATTGCGCCGCTTGGCAAATTTTAAGCTAACTGAAATGTGCGTAAATTTTGTGTCCGACGTTCTTAAGGGGCCTTCACACGGCAAATTCAAGTTGGCAAACTCGTGCTGGCAAACTCAAGTTAGCGTGTGTGAACGGCACACATACAGTAGGCAAACACGTTGGCAAACTGTTGGCGACAAATAGAACTTGCTTCTATTCTCGCCAACTTTTTCACCAACGTTTCTGACGTGTGAACGACTGGCAAACATGTGTTGTTAACTGTCAACCAATCAAAACACGCGCTCTATTCACGTGATTTATTTGCGTGACACTTCACAAAATAGCGGACGCAATTCAAGATGAACATGAGGCCACTTTTAAATTTATCGAAGGGTTCACAATTGTCTGGCTGTGTGGGACGTTTCATTTGTAGTCTACAAAGATACTAAAACCTTTCTATTTCTCCATCGCTTTCTGTTTCTTCTCTTCTCTTCTTCTGTTTCACTATTCGACGTGAGTGCCATTGAAAAAATCTGCTCCTGGCGTTCAGAACCACCTTAACGTTTTGAAAATTTATGGTGGCTCTGAACCCTTTGTACATAATTTTTTGGGAAGCAGCTTTTACGTTTTAATGAACGAGAGAGTCATTGAACGCATTGACGACTTTGTTTCTTAGTGGATTTTTTAATTACGAAAATTTCGGCTCATTTGCATTTTATAATCTGTTTGGTGTTTGTGTGAATTAAGATGACGTTGCTTCTTTGCAGGTTGGTTAAAAACATAATTATTTATAAATATTTTCTTAGGTATTTCCAAGGTAGATACATTAGTTACGACACAATCAGAGGTATTTTACAGCCATTAAACTTCTCGGAAACTAAATAATAAACTATGTAATAAGAACCGGAAGTCAGAAGCCCTCATGTTGTAAATAAAATGGACACCATGCAGGAAACATTCGAGTGTTGCGTTTACCAGACAGCCAGACTGATACGAAAGATCACTTTTTTGCTCGAAAACATATCTCGGTTTGTCAAGGTCGATTATAAGCGGGAACGAGGCATTCATAGCAATAACTGTCGGAACTTTCTCACACGCGGTACCTACCCTGCGAGCGTGACATTCAGTCTCTTCCTGCTCGGTAAGAGACGAGAAGGGACCTCTGCTCACAACTGCTCTATTTCCTATCGTGCATGCGCGAACTAGGTCAGCATGTCGCACGTGCCGTACTTTGCCATGCATAACGTTTACACGTAATCAGAATTTAGCTATTTTCTGTTCAATCGCGGCAAATTAATTCTTGAATTTCAAAATATGCACTTTTACTCTGATAGAGAAACCTTACAAATTTCGCAATGTTCTACGAAGTACTAAGCGAATAATTACGTCATATTTGGTTACATGACTCGAAAAACTCCATCAAGCTGTTGGTAGAAACTGCCTTGCAGAAATCGCATTTGTGAATGATACTAAAAGCAACTTGACTTTATTATTATTTAAATATTTTCGAATGTGTTCTTCCTCTGCTCCTAATGAAGCCATTTCTGTGACACTTCCGTAAGAATGGTTTCGAAACCTTACACAAAAGAAGTGAAAAATTGGCTGATTAAGCTTCAACTGATCTGAAATTTGCATACCTGTTCAATACCCGAGAGGATAAATTGTTTTAGCCGCAAAGAAAGGTTCCGTGATAAGTAGAAAAGATGTCTCCCACCTTGTTCAAGATTATTGCTTGGATTTTGACAATAACAACGTTGTTTGGCAACTGCTTCATAATAATCATCATCGTCTCAAGAAAACGTCTGCGTTCAAGTAAGCTCAACTGGTTCATAATTTCTCTTGCTGTCGCTGATTTCCTTGTGGGGTTAAGTTTTTATCCACCTCTGTTTTTCTGCGAGCGCTGGTTTTCCTGTCACACTAGACTCATGAAATCATTTCGTTGGATCTTCATTTACTCATCAGTTTGTAATCTGTGTGCCATGACAGTCGACCGGTATCTCGCCATTACGTCGCCCATTTATCATCGAACCAAAGTGTCTGAGAGGGTTGTGGTGATGTCGATAACACTGTCTTGGGTTGTTCCAGCTGTTTTGCGCGGGGTTGTTTTCACTCCACTCTATTACGTTCATGAACACAAAGCATTAAAGTACGGCCTGCCTATACTGTTGGTCATCTTTGAAGCCCTTCCATGTCTACTCATTTTATTTGCTGTTGTTCGCATAAGCATCATTGCTAAAAGGCAAAAATTACAGCGCAGGAACAAATCGAAAGGAAGAGCTAATCAGACAAAGGATGAAAATCAACGCAGTTCCACTGCGCTTAGAATGATTCTGTTCGTTGCCTTCTTCTTCATTTTCTGCTATTTATTTGAAGTTTATTATGCCACCTGTGTAACATTTTCTACGTCATGCAAAGACATGGAAATCCTCCAGTTGATTCAGCGGTTCTTCCTGATTGCTAACTCCGCGGTAAATCCGTTTGCATACGCCTATCTTAAAAGAGATATCAAAGAGGAAGTAATACGCAAAATAAGCGTGCTCTGTAGGAAACGGAACTCGGAACTGAATGCTCACCCAAACACGGAGCCTGACGTTCAATCTGTTAATCTAGATGAGATTTTATAAGTGTCTTTAAGTCTTGTTGTAATATAATGATTCATGTAGTGATTAACAAATATCAGATAAGAAGCTAATTGACGTTCTCAAGACTTCCAACATTGAGAAGATCACACAAACGATTTGCTGATACTCTTAGGTTCAAACCATTCATTTTATCTTCATAGAATTCTAAATATCTTGATTCTAAATCAAGGTCTATAAGGTAAAGAAAGGGCAAGGACATCTGTCATTAAAGCTATGGGCAAACATGTTATAAAAGATGCCAGTTTTGATAACCTAACTGACCGAGATCATCAGATTATGAATAGAGCTTAGGTTTTACAGGCTTTTAAAATGTTTTTCAAATTTAACTACCTTCTGAATTACGCAGTCTTGACTTGATGTGGTATGACATAATCAGACAACCATCAACGAAATAAATATTTCTTCTGAGTGAGGTTAGAAAGCACCGACGCTTGAGCGAAGTGAAAGGTTTTACACCATGTCAAAGTGCGAATCTAGAACATGAAACTATAAACAATAGTGCATGTGGTATCATTGAGGTGGAAGATGTTCAAACAAACTGGAAAAAATCAATAAACGCACCCTTCGCTTTGTGACATGATTGTGACAAATCAACCACGTACGAGACACTACTCAAAAAAAAAAATAATAATAATAACGTGCTGTCTCCACATAATCAAAGAATAGTTTAAATGGCCACCGGTGTTTATAAAATTGTCCATGGGTATAAAGTCCCCAAAGGTATTGGAGAACTACGGAAAGAGCGATCAACTAATTATACCCTTAGAGGAAAGCTGTCTAAAGCAAAAACTACAACTTATGGACTTAAATCGTGGTGTTATACTGCTGCTAAGATTTGGAACGCTCTTCCTGACCAAATTCGCGCAGTCAACAAACTCGGAACATTAAAGAACTTGATTTCAAAATTGGATTTTTAAATCTCACAGTTTAATTATGTAAGTACGCGTCTTTTCTATACAACTTTAATTACATGAATGTAAATAATTACGGGACCATTTTATTTTTAATGGTAAATGTACTTTATATAGATTTTCGCTGTTATTTTTTCGTGAAACGCATTCAAATACCTTGTACATATCTACTTAAGAACTGCTGGACAGCTAGAACTCTGTAAACATTTTGGACTCAGCCTACGGCCTCGTCCAATTCGGCAGTCCTCGGAATTTTTCTCATCCAATTATTTCCAAATTTGACAGGATGTAGTCCTATTACATATACATATCTGCTAGTCGTTTAAAATCCTCTTTACCGACACTTCGAAAACGCCAAGAAGCGGCCGTCATTTTGTCAACAAGGATACACTGTTACGCTACTCACTATCTATCACAGAATAGATAGTNAAAAAAAAAAAAAAAAAAAAAAAAACACTGAAGTTCAATACGTTTTTGGTCTCCATAGAGTCGCAATGATCAGCTTTTCACCGATGATAGGATAACTTACGTCAGAATTTACTCCAGGCAAATATTTTGATATCAGTCCTGTTGTCGACTTTATACCATTATCTATCACGCGTTTCGAGGCGGACAACTACACGAGTTAAAACAAAACTAAAGATAATTAGTGACATGTTTTTTATTTAGTCCGATTGCTTTTACTGCTCTTTCGGAAGCAGTTTTCTCATTATTATGCAAGTCTTAACTTATTTTCCCGTATTTTGCATCTAATCTGATCCTAGAAAGTGACAGTTTGTCTCTCACCCAAACAGCATCTGCCTAAACCGTCAACTCTTTCATCTCGAAACAAAGACGGTGACGCCACAATATTGTTTAAAGGCAGGTGTTTTTCCGTCGGTCCCCTAGTCTCCATGAATGTTTAATTGACATATATCCATTAACCAGCCACATCTCATGAGATGAGATGTATACAGGCATCACATCAGCTTCATACTGATAATTATCACTTCGTCGAATCTCTTCGACTGAGAGAAAAAGCCTAAGGCAATCATGAATTGTAAGTAATTTTCAGCACGAAATTAGTTCAGTGCCTTAGCAGAAAAATGATTGACAATTGAAAAAGGCTTCGCTTAAAACAAAAAAAATTGAGAGAGCAACGTCAAACATCGCCGATGGTAGAAAATCAATCCTTCTGCCCGCTCTACAAAAGCTACGACGCTGGTGAATCTCCTGCTGCTTTGAATGTTTTCATCGCCCTGATCAACGGAGTATTTTCAATACTAGCATTAATATCAAATCTACTTGTTATTTTCGTAATATGCAAAAGGCCAGCACTCCGTACCTCTTGGCATGTTCTCTTGGCATCCCAGGCCAGTTCCAATGTTGCTGTCTCACTTTTGGCCCAACCGTCATTGATCGCCCTCCAAATAGAAGATATGCTTGGTGATACGGATGGCTACTGCACAGCTCAAATGATAAACATTGCGGCATCCGTAATTTTCATATTGACAACCTTTTGGTCTGTTTTGGGAATGGCTGTGAACCAGTTTCTTTCTCTGCAGTTTCCAACCTGGTACAATGCAGCGATCACCTTCAAAAGGGTAACAATCCTGGTCCTATTGGCCTGGCTTGTAGCTATGCTGGCTTTTGCTCTGTGCTTTGCGTTAGGATTCACCAGGCGCCTGTTTTTTGTAGCAATTTTAATAGCTGCTTTCTTGATGCTTCTTACACTTTTCTTTAGTATCAAGAATTACCATAAAATTCGAGGATATCTGATGCAAGTTCAACAACAACTTGAGGCTCCAACCAGTGTACCACCGGTTGTCACGCCGAACGTTTCTCGCCATCAGAAAACTGCAGCAACAGTTTTTAGTATCTTGGCAACGTGTTTTGTGACACATATTCCTTTATTCACTACCTTTGTTATTGCTTATCTATTAGACTGGTCGGAAGCAAGAAATAATGCTTTCATCATAACACTGACAGTTGCGTACAGCTGTTCTTGCCTGTGTTCGGTCATTTACTTCCGGCAGAACGGGGAGATCCGCCAAGAAGTCCTCCATCTACTGAGTTACTGAAATCAAACTGTGTTCTGCTTCTAGATGTGTCGATAAACAACTCACAAGCCAGGAGCTCACTAACTTAGCAAGATAGTCACTAGAAACCGCCACTTTATTTTTAGGAACGAAATCCAAAAATCCATTCTATTAACAATACTGTTCAAAACTAATGCAAACGACAATCGACGAATATCGCGATAATGGCGATATATCGGCAATATTTGAACGATGTTATGCTTGAAACGATATATCGCGGGAGATATCGCGAAGCTATTGTCGTAGCTGTTGCTATATTTCGCTGAGTCCTGCGCAATTTATCGTTTGCACCGAGCGATGTTTCTTTCCACCTAACGATATCGCTTCCGATTATCGAAATATACCGAAGTATTGCGCCGCTTGGCAAATTTTAAGCTAACTGAAATGTGCGTAAATTTTGTGTCCGACGTTCTTAAGGGGCCTTCACACGGCAAATTCAAGTTGGCAAACTCGTGCTGGCAAACTCAAGTTAGCGTGTGTGAACGGCACACATACAGTAGGCAAACACGTTGGCAAACTGTTGGCGACAAATAGAACTTGCTTCTATTCTCGCCAACTTTTTCACCAACGTTTCTGACGTGTGAACGACTGGCAAACATGTGTTGTTAACTGTCAACCAATCAAAACACGCGCTCTATTCACGTGATTTATTTGCGTGACACTTCACAAAATAGCGGACGCAATTCAAGATGAACATGAGGCCACTTTTAAATTTATCGAAGGGTTCACAATTGTCTGGCTGTGTGGGACGTTTCATTTGTAGTCTACAAAGATACTAAAACCTTTCTATTTCTCCATCGCTTTCTGTTTCTTCTCTTCTCTTCTTCTGTTTCACTATTCGACGTGAGTGCCATTGAAAAAATCTGCTCCTGGCGTTCAGAACCACCTTAACGTTTTGAAAATTTATGGTGGCTCTGAACCCTTTGTACATAATTTTTTGGGAAGCAGCTTTTACGTTTTAATGAACGAGAGAGTCATTGAACGCATTGACGACTTTGTTTCTTAGTGGATTTTTTAATTACGAAAATTTCGGCTCATTTGCATTTTATAATCTGTTTGGTGTTTGTGTGAATTAAGATGACGTTGCTTCTTTGCAGGTTGGTTAAAAACATAATTATTTATAAATATTTTCTTAGGTATTTCCAAGGTAGATACATTAGTTACGACACAATCAGAGGTATTTTACAGCCATTAAACTTCTCGGAAACTAAATAATAAACTATGTAATAAGAACCGGAAGTCAGAAGCCCTCATGTTGTAAATAAAATGGACACCATGCAGGAAACATTCGAGTGTTGCGTTTACCAGACAGCCAGACTGATACGAAAGATCACTTTTTTGCTCGAAAACATATCTCGGTTTGTCAAGGTCGATTATAAGCGGGAACGAGGCATTCATAGCAATAACTGTCGGAACTTTCTCACACGCGGTACCTACCCTGCGAGCGTGACATTCAGTCTCTTCCTGCTCGGTAAGAGACGAGAAGGGACCTCTGCTCACAACTGCTCTATTTCCTATCGTGCATGCGCGAACTAGGTCAGCATGTCGCACGTGCCGTACTTTGCCATGCATAACGTTTACACGTAATCAGAATTTAGCTATTTTCTGTTCAATCGCGGCAAATTAATTCTTGAATTTCAAAATATGCACTTTTACTCTGATAGAGAAACCTTACAAATTTCGCAATGTTCTACGAAGTACTAAGCGAATAATTACGTCATATTTGGTTACATGACTCGAAAAACTCCATCAAGCTGTTGGTAGAAACTGCCTTGCAGAAATCGCATTTGTGAATGATACTAAAAGCAACTTGACTTTATTATTATTTAAATATTTTCGAATGTGTTCTTCCTCTGCTCCTAATGAAGCCATTTCTGTGACACTTCCGTAAGAATGGTTTCGAAACCTTACACAAAAGAAGTGAAAAATTGGCTGATTAAGCTTCAACTGATCTGAAATTTGCATACCTGTTCAATACCCGAGAGGATAAATTGTTTTAGCCGCAAAGAAAGGTTCCGTGATAAGTAGAAAAGATGTCTCCCACCTTGTTCAAGATTATTGCTTGGATTTTGACAATAACAACGTTGTTTGGCAACTGCTTCATAATAATCATCATCGTCTCAAGAAAACGTCTGCGTTCAAGTAAGCTCAACTGGTTCATAATTTCTCTTGCTGTCGCTGATTTCCTTGTGGGGTTAAGTTTTTATCCACCTCTGTTTTTCTGCGAGCGCTGGTTTTCCTGTCACACTAGACTCATGAAATCATTTCGTTGGATCTTCATTTACTCATCAGTTTGTAATCTGTGTGCCATGACAGTCGACCGGTATCTCGCCATTACGTTGCCCATTTATCATCGAACCAAAGTGTCTGAGAGGGTTGTGGTGATGTCGATAACACTGTCTTGGGTTGTTCCAGCTGTTTTGCGCGGGGTTGTTTTCACTCCACTCTATTACGTTCATGAACACAAAGCATTAAAGTACGGCCTGCCTATACTGTTGGTCATCTTTGAAGCCCTTCCATGTCTACTCATTTTATTTGCTGTTGTTCGCATAAGCATCATTGCTAAAAGGCAAAAATTACAGCGCA